ATTTTTCACATAAATTGCAATTTTGACAAAAAAAATCGCATAACTCAAAAACAAAACAAAATTTCGTTCTGAAAATACGATCACATTTTTTATATTACTTTAATTTATATTAATTATTATTTTCTGGAGGCAAATGATTAAAAATAAAACCGCTTGGTTCCATACTTTATATTCACCCTGTATACCAAATATGGTAGGTATGCATTTTTCATCATAATATAGTACCAGAACCAAGACCAGAAATTTTGGTAATTAATTTAGATAACCATTAAATTATTTTAAAAATCTTCATATCATCATAAAATTTAGTTTTTGAGTACGATGACTTATGTAGGGCCCAAAATATAAAAACAATGAGATTTTTTTTGTGAATAAACAATATTATTACCAAAATATAGACCCTTAGCAATTTTCAATAATTTTAAACAGTTCCTTGATTTTTTATTAACAATCAAAGATTCAATGCAATTTTTCTCAAAACTGTAATTTTTGAGTTACTATAATTTTCGTAGGGAGAGTCGATATTATACAAGTGTCCGGAAAAAAAACGTTGAAAGATATCGGGGGTGTTTGCTAACTCCTGAGGGGGCTAGAGTCCCTTGAATATGGCGAGAAAAGGCTTTTTTTCAATTATCTGAGTAACCAGTGGACATAAATTTAAGTTTGTACCTGGAGCAAATTTTTGGCGCTAAATCCATTGGTGATATCAAAAATTTTGGCCCTAATTAGGGGGGCGGAGACATTGAGATCAATCAAAAGCGTAAAATTTTGCTGTGTAGTAAATTTCTCTCAAATCCGGATTTATTGGCTAATTTTCTTTAAAAAATTTTTCTTCTGCTATTTTTGAAGGACGCAGTTCTCGAGAAAAATGTGTTTTTTTCTTCTTAATTCCATGTTTTTTCTTATTTTGACCTTTCAACGTTTTTTCCAGACAGCTTGTATAATTTATATTTTAGGCAGTAAAAACGAGTATTTTTCTTCGACAAAAGCTTATCTTAATTTTAAATAAAGAATGCTAACAATGATAAAGAATTTTACCTTTGAATAAGCGCTATTGTATTTCGAAATAAATATTACCTTAGTTTTGAACGAAGTAGGGCATTCTACGAGATTTTGCAAAAATGACATTGTTTTCAGAAATACCAAATATTAAAATAAAATAAATCGTTCTATGGTTCTTAGGAAAATAAAAACATTCCGTAACAGATAAATAACTAAATAAATATAATGTTTGAAACCGCTTTTTTAATGTGGCATCACAATGAATTTTTTTGGAAACTTACATTTTCAACCACAATTGGTTTTGCTTGATTTCTTGCCATAATCAAATTCTTCACCACTCAAATAAAATTCCAAACTGCTTTAAATTGTACTTATTTTCTGCTTTCAATCAAATTGATACAAAAACTGCAACTGATAAGATATATCGACATTTATCACGTAACTAAACTTCCAAGTATTTTTCTATCAGCAGAAACAGAAATCGATATGTCAATTACTACATACATATCCCATAGATTTTGGTAATAAATATTTCTTCTGTCCTAGTTCACATTATGCAAAAAATACTTTTATAAAAGCGACAAGTTTGAGTATTTTGTAATTTGTCAAAGATCAAATACGTTTATTAAAATAGAAAAAAGGATTTTAAGCCTACGTTTATGGAAAAGAAAAAGACTTGAAACTTTGTTCGTTTTAAATGGGGTTACAATGAAAGTCTGCTTAAATACTTGTACAGGGTGCTGCATTTTGGATGTCCGAATAGGGAATCTCCGAAGCTAAAAGGTTTAGCCAAAAACGAGTAATACATTCTGGGACTCATTTTTTGAGAAAATAATAATAGTTAAAACCGCATCCCGCTATCGTCTTTTGTTTTCGACTTATAGACAAAAATTGACATTTTAGGGAAATCTAAAAAAGTTCATATTTTCGTTATTATAGAAGACACAGATTTGAAATAAAGACATTATACAGGCACTTTTTACGTAGAATTTAATAATGTAGTTAACAATTTTTTTCACTTGTTTGTTTAGCCGTAATAAAATAAACTTGTATTATTTTTAGATGGGAATCATAGATGGCTATGTCATTTTTAAAAAGCTTGTTTTTTTCTTATCTAAAAAATATATATTTGTAACAAATTATTATTTTTTTAGCAAAAAATTATCTTTGATTTTTGTTCGCAGTTGGCCATGAAAAAATGTTGCATCTTCAACTAAAAGGATTTAAACTATATTATATTCAACCAGTGTCACTAATGAAAGAGTTTTCTAAGTACTAAGTAATGAAAAAGATGCAAAATAAATTGTAAATCAACTTATTGGCGACTAATAACATTTCTTTGTTTAAACAAGCTAACATTACCATTGCAACTTCTAGTGATACATAGAGAGTTGTAAAAAAAGCCGCTTTAATTCTTCAATAAAATATATTTTATATGACACAAAAATGACGATATGGCTATTCAAATACCCAAATTCCGTCTATGTGAAACGTTATCCTACCTCCATTAGATCATCAAAAAAATCTTTTTTTCTAATTGTGTTGACTGTTGTTTTTCTTTTCCTATTTTTGGATTTTTTTAAAAATATGTAATAATTTTGTTCTGAGGCGCTCGCATATTTGTTCAATGCTTCTACCGTATCGTATTTTTTAAATCTTTATAATTTTATCTATTTTACAGTTCACAAAACTCTTATCGATTATTATCTACACATTTGGAGTGAAATAGTTTTTCCATGGCCAACTATTATCACACAAAATATGTATTTCACTTTTTAAGTATAGTTATAAAAAAATATTTTGTTACAAATATATATTTTTTAGATCAGAAAAAAATAAGCTTTTCAAAATTGCCATAGCCGCCTATGATTTCCATTAAAAAAAATACAAGTTTATCTTATTACGGCTAAACTAATAACTGAAAAAAATTGTTAACTACATTATTAAATTCCTCGTAAAAAAGTGCCTCTATAATGTCTTTATTTCAAATCCGTATCTTCTATAATAACGAAGATATAATTTTTTTTAGATTTTGCCAAAATGTCAACTTTTGTCTGTAAGTCGAAAACAAAGGACGATAGCGGGATGCGGTTTTAACCAATATTATCTTCTCAAAAAATAAGCCCCAGAATGTATCACTCGTTTTTGACTAAACCTCTCAGTTTCGGAGATTCCCTATTCGGACATCCAAAATGCAGCACCCTGTACAGTAAAACTACTAATTTTCAAACATTTATTAAATTTTACTTTTAACATTGAAAAGTTATGGTATTCCAATATATAGGCATATAAAAAATAAAAATTCATTCTAGGCTAAATCTTTTTAAAGATTATTGTTAGGAGGGTAACTAGATCAAAAAATTGTAGTATGAGTAAGAGTACTCTTACAATGTAAAAGTAATATCAAAAAATAACCTAAATTACAACTGTATACGTATGAATTACAAAAATATTTCGTCGTACTATGTAATAAAATAACCAGTAACATGAAACAAACGCAACCTATTCTACCAAAAAACACGCAAATACTAAATATATTGTTCTTGAATGCGTATATTTATTTTACGCATTATTTTTTTGGTTCGCCGTCTTCTTGGCTTCTTCTACATATTGCATAAGATTCACGCTCATGTAATATGGACGTTCCGTCCCGTCATTCATGCAACTATCCTCACAGAAGCAAAGGAAGATAGTATCAATCGCAGTCTGAAATTTAATTTCAATTCAAGTAATTACAAATAAACAATAACTGAGCAAACCTCAAAAACAGCAAAGAAGCAATCAGCTATAATCGCAGTCACAATCGCGCTGATTAGGATAGCAGCCCAGAAGTGTTCGATGGAAGGGTCCTAAAAACGCAATATTTACTCTTGTAATTGACATTTTCAATTATGCTCACAGCCATTAAAGTTCCAACCAATACAGTCGCCACGACTATCAATACTTTCGACATACCCAACACAAAATCGCCAACAGAATTCACTGCAATTGTACTAAGGGCATTCGCGGCAAGTAGTCGTACAGCTCGTTTCCCAGACTTGAAAAATGGTTGTCCATGCATGGCTAAAATCAATTTTGACCATAGAGTAATTCCATGCCAAAACGATCACTTTTAAAACTCATTGTTTCTGATTTTCGTAAATTTGAGGTATCTTATAGAACGTGTAAAAATAAGTGACACGTAATTTATGTTGAAAAAACAGTGACAAAATTAAGTACCTCGGAGCAAAAAGAATTTTTATCTAAAGTACAAATCAACATATTGAAACGATTTTTTTTTAATAATAGATATAAATAGGTACAATCAGCGTAGAAAAGATTGTCCTCCCGATAAACCTTAGCTTAGTTATTTTACTTACTCCAATTGAGTAGATAAATAAAAAAAAATTGAAAAACTCACAACTTTATACCGCAACTAAAAGTTAAATTAAAAAATAATTTGAATGAATATTTGATGTTATTTATTTACTAAGATAACAAGTAAATGCCGTTTTAAATGGTATAATAAAATAAACAATATTATTATTATTAGTAATATCTAATAAAAACCATTTATTGGTAAACATTAAAATGACCAAATCTAACCGGAGACAAT